TATAATATATATATATATATATATATATATATTATAGTTAGCTAATTAACTAGCATATTCAATAATTCTATTCAAATTATCATGGTGCTTTTTCACAAAAAAAGAAGGTTTATAAAATTCAAAGGAATAGTACCTCCAAATGGCAACTATCTTATGTGATTCACATTCTTCATTTATTTTTCTTAAATTTTCATTTCTGTCTCACGTCCCTTTTTTTATAGTTTTTATCAAAAATAAAAAAATCCCCAGTTGCCCCCCCCCCCCTCCCTGGCAGCCATGCATCTGAGGAAGAATGAGCATTTGTTTTAGCAAATGTTTCTATTTTTTGTGCCCATCCCTTATTTGTGCATATTCATATTTCAAAAATGAAGTAGTAATGATAGATATGAACAAAATATTTACCAATATACACAAAATGTTAAATAAACTATAGCTGCTATATGCAGTGCTGACAAAGCCTATTGTCCAATACTAAGATTAATCAGGCCAGCTGGGATAAGACAGACATACTAGTGGTTGAGATGCTATAAATTACTTGAGCAACAATTGTTTTATTTTGAACAAGATTAAATTGTTGATCTATAATTTTTATACATTATACATTTTACTAATATCAAATTATTTATTTTTCCACCAAATTCATTATCATTATTTACTTAAATTAGCATTACTCATTATCCAGCAAACTCGCAAATCAGTAAGCTAGTTTGTTTTTTTGTCTCAGTGATTCAAGTGACCACACAATCGATGGGAGAAGACTACATTACTAATTATAAGAACTTATGAGTAAAAGTCAAGAATAATGTAATAGTATATCCAGTACCAAGGAGGCCTTTTGCTCAATGCCAGAGTTCATCAGTATCTTAAAATTTTTCGATCACTCAGTAAACATTTAAGTTTTTATACAAAACAAAACCTCAATCTTCAAAATGTTTTATCTTATTACTGCTATGCAGTGTGATGCTAATGCAGTTTTTCAAAAGCATAAAATTTAAATGATTCAATGCAATTAAAATTCAATAGCAGATTGATTAACTCTTCAGGCTTGGTAAACCAGTTTGCAACTTCTCTTGCAGTGATGAGAGAAGCAGTTTTATTTAAAAATAAACCAAATATTCATTTAAGGGGAAATTGACCATTGCTTATTTAACAACATCCCTTTCATCTTGGACCCACAGTTTTTGTTAAAACTGCATCACTAAATGCATACAAACATGTATTTATCATGTAATTAATGTCTCTGTATAGGATGCCCCACTATGGTTTCCAGGATCATTGATCATAGTTTGCCCAATTCTCTTTAATACAAGTTGCTGGTGCTCAAGACTGAGCTTACTTTGATTACTTTTGTACATATAAAAGATGGTCTTCCTGCCACTGTAGCCTTCATGCTCGAGGTTTTAGAACTTAGGCTTAAATCATCTTAAGAGGTTGTTGTTCTAGACACATCAGCAACCCGTACAGTCTCAAATGTTGGATGCACTTGCCAGATGAGTGCCTACTGTCATCCCTCTTTGAAATTTCCTGACATCATTCCTATAATACAAGATGTCTGTAATAGAAACATAACAGGTATGGCTAAAACCTTACAACACATACATTCACTCTAGACTTCTGGAAATGAAGTTGCATGTGATTAGAAAATTTAAAAGGCAGGCATGTCCATTCACACACAAGAAAGGGGTTCAGTATCATATGAAATTAGAAGATGTTTCCATTTTCTTCTAGCTTTTGTACACTTAACATGATCATTTACACAAATTAAAAATTCTTAAGAAACATGTTCATACTGATAAAAAAAAAAAGAGTAATACATTAGGTTACTGACATGTACATCTTTTCAGGCTACCTTTTCTGGTTCCACAGGATCAACAATTGCAGCTTCTTTGGTAGCATCATCTACCAACAAATACATATAATTATCTGAAAGGGCTGGAAGCAAATGCACTTTCATATCAGACTGGCTAACAGTTGTAGGATTACTATGAAAATTTGTCTGGAATCCTGTAAAAGAATTGAAAAAATATCAGCTGTAAGCCCACAGTAACACTCAAATATAACCTTTTGAAAGTGAAACCTTATTTTCTCATTATAAACTGTTTTATGTTATCTTATCATTCTTTTTCAGAAGGACAAAACATTTAAACAAGTGATTAAAATATATGCTGAGCAATATGAAGTAACTTTTTTCTTTCCAAAACTGAGCTGAATAACTACTGATTACTAAAAACCAGTTTTATTAGAGGTACCTGTCTGATATCAATTGTACCATGCACAAGTATATATTTTCTGAATATTATAATATTATCAAAAGCATTTCAATTTTATATTATGAGTGTGTACATGTTAAAATCTTTATAGAGTGAAAAGTAGGATTATACTATTTTTGAATACACTACTTATAGAGATCACATTCAAAGGAACCAGATAAGTGCCCTTGTTATTCACATAAATACAATTTCATCAATTTTGTACCTAATTAGATACCAGAACAAACAAGATGCCTAATAACTGTATTTATATTTAACAAACACAGTCCTGATAAAGAAGAAATAAACACTAAGATTAAAAAAATGAAACTTCTGGAGGCTATAACATTAACATTTTCTTAACCTGAAAATGTATTTAAGATAGTTGCTCATCTCTCTGCACAACAAAGAGATATTACCTTGCACCACAGCCATGAAGTTTTGTGGATGCCACAAGCCTTGAACAAAGTATTTGCCCTATGTGTATTAGTAACATGTATTATGCCAGCCTATGACTTTAATTACTACTAGACTATAGCCCTCCACCAATAGGTGAGTGATGCATTCTCCACATGAAGTAATCCTCATGAGCATTAGCATTTGAACAAATGATCCTTCTTGATGAGGTGAAAGAAATACTCCTGAAGTGGGAAGGGAGAATGGAAGGTGTCACATAGGTGGGAGGAGAAAAAGGCTGCTCAATTGGCCATTATCTCTCTGGAAGTCAGCTGAGCGTGAGTGTAGGACAATAATTCAGGCCATACTGTATTGGAAAAATACCTACCAGAATAAATCAAATGCAGGGAGAAAAATATCTCACACTTGCATCCTGAGGAGAAAAAGACATATTGGGCAGACCTAATCACTGGGAATAGCTTGGTTCATAGTGTTGTGGAGTGACCTGTACTAAAGTTTCAGGTAACACTCAGCCCTACTTCACATCAAGGGATGCACTCACTCAGTCTCATACCAGAGGGATGACACCAACCAAATTGAGAACTTTCCATATCAACCTCCCATGTTGCTTGGGGCTGAGGAAGTAAGGTTTCTCTCTTACTCCAATAGAAAAAACAGGAGAGAGGAATTTGCATGGGAGGTGCTCAAACTGAACAGAAATCATCACATCAGCATAAGATCCAACACTGATATTGTGCAATGGGCAGGGACAGTAGGCACCAGGTAAGTGTGAAGGCAGGCACACACCTGGTGCTGTCATTTCTTATGTTAAATTTTTTTTTTTACTTGTGAAGTATGGCTTGAAAGGTAAAATACATATATATACAATACCAGAAAACTATCTTAGTAGCAGGCACCAAACAGGAGCAGATAGGCTTAATACTTTGTTATCTCCTACTTAATACACATTTTTGGAGACAAAAGTATTCCCTGTGAGCCATCACCAGCCACATGGTGGGTTCCATCATCTCCAGTATATATACATAATAAACAATAATAAAAATTAATCAAAAACTCACCTCACTAGAGCCTCTAGGAAGACTGGAGAATGGTGATTAGAAAGAGACAAAACCCAGATGCAAACAAAATTGCCATGTGATGCAGGTAATGGGACACAACTGTGTCAGAGGACATCAAAATCCTCACCTGTGAGATCTTGTTTAGGGATATCAATAGTGAGAATCAAGAGAAGCCGCGAGATGATAAGCCAGATGGGAAGTGATCTGAAAAGGTTAACAGGCATCATCTCTCATGGAAGAATAAACAAGACTGATGATTTAACAAACCCAACAAGTGAAAGTGGAAGGTGGTAAGTTATGAGAAGAAAAGAAATTTCACAGAAAGAGAAGGTTATAGGGATTGCCATTTATGGAAACAGTCCAAGCATGATACCATCAAAATACCAAAACAGGACACAGAAAATGACCAGGGTCAGAACAATCATATTTAAAAGAAATAGGAGAGAGTGTGATAGGGAAGAGAACATCTGATCACCACCATGGTCCAGGAATAAAAACAACTTATTGTGCAGGAGGTAACTAAGGAAAATACATCAGAGTTGTTTCCCACAAGCAAGAAGAAAATATGTCTTTAATTAAAGAAATACAAGAAAAAGATGGCTAAAAGTACAAACAAAAAACACTTTAGAGGCCAGAGAACAAAACAGAGGTTCGAGTCCAGAAGGATGAGAAATGCTCAGTAGAGGTCTGTCAAATCTGGAGAAAAAAAGGGAATGGCTGAGAAAGGTTATTGACAAAACTGTCCCATAACCAGTGTTTGCAGAAATGAATACACTTCCCCTGAAAAGCCAGGTCAAAGATGAAGTGAGATGAGAAAGAGTAGGATGACCTGGAGGGAATAAAATTTGAAATATATATAATAGGTTGCCAACCACCACTCTTCTGGAAAATGACAAAAAAAGACAAGAGTAAAGACCCATAGAGGGGTTGAGAACCTGTTTCATGGCATCCATAGCTTAAAGAATGGAGACAGGCTCCTTTAAGTGTTGACAGGAATCTGATTGGGGTGGAAAGACAACTGGAGAAAGAGGAAGTTTAGTGTGAAAACACAGGGAAAGTCCACTGAAAAGCACTCCTGTGTAACTCAAACTTCATGTGCAAAGGAAGTACACAGATGCACATAGAGGAAGAGCCAAGCTCCAACCAGATCAGAACCTAGGGGCAGTTCCAAAAGCAAGTCACATCTGTGATCCACAATAGCTGGTCCTCCAAGACAGGGAATGTCAAAAAGACACATGAAGATGAGAAACAGGATTGAGGGCATCCTGACAAGTCTCCCAAGGACTAGAAAACTGTTGGGACCCCTGGAGGGAGCAAATCGGGAAACCAAAGCAATCACAGGAAACTGTTGACAAGCAGCCTCAGCTTGAGTTTCTAAAATGTAAGAAATTTCTCCAAAGACCTCATCTTGAAGAAAGGGTGCCAGATGTATGTCACAAAGATTAGGGAGACATACACACAAAAACAAGGCATTCCAACCATTAAATCTCAAAAACAAGGAACAAAGTTAACTGGAACACTTTAAAAGAAGAGATTGAAGTTAATGTGGTAAACAGGTAGGGAGCAAATATCCCCAGCAAAGCTGTTGAGATTATGATGTAGTCTCTGAGAGGTGAAGTGTAAACAACAACAAAGAAGCAAGAGCAAAATGAAGATGATCAGACTGAGGATGAGTGAGAGATAAAGTAGAGAAAAGGAGAGATACCCAAGCTGGAAAAAGAGACTCAAAGGGCTGAAGCTCAAGAAAAATACAAGAATCTTGACCATAGGCCATAGAAAAAGTGTCACAAACTTGAAATGAACGAGGCTGCTACGAGTTAGTGAAATGCTGAAACAAAAAGGTATTAACATGAATACAAATATCAGGGTAGAAGGGAAAGAAAATATAGTTAAAAGGATGAGGCTTATGAAGCAATGTAGCCCAAAACTCATCAAAAATAACTGTAGAAAGAGAAAGGATGTCAAACATCTGAATAATCAATGTAGTAATGGAGGAAGGGACAATTAGTTGCTCCTCATCAAAAACAGAAGAACTGAAAAATCAAAAGCAAAGGCAGGAGGTGAAGGCAGATGGTTAATATCATCAAAAGACTAACTCAGCTGAAGCAATGGAAACAAAAGGTCAAGAAACCCAGAGAAGATATGAAGAAGGCAGAATAGAACTAACTACATCATGCACAATGAGGGTAATATTCAGTCAGAATGCCTTTAGTTGCCATGAAACAGTAGGAGAGGACTCCTGGTATGAAGTGTCAGAACCTCATGAAGTAGCAGAAACATGGCTTTGGGTATTCATTGTCAAAATAATCCATGAAAACATTTTTATTATTGTTATTTTTGCTTTATAACAGATTGAGTTTACAGTAAAAGTACTCAAGTACAAAGAAGAGCCAGACAATAAGGTTTAACCCTTCATTTGTAACTTGTGTAAATCTGCCTACTACCCCATGTGCAAAGATTTGCAAATTTTTGTGATGAGCCATTCAAAATGTTGCATGCAAAATGCTGCATCATATGATGTCAACTGCAATTCAAGGGTTATATGAAAGTTGAATAACAAAATCAATGCAAAAACTCCCTAAATTCCAAAAACAAAGAAAAACTTTTGGACATACTGAAGGCCAGCAGTATCAAGGAAAGGAGTCTTTGTTCAAATGCTAGTGCTCATGAGGATTACTGTGCATGGAAGATTACTGTCCTCCTACTGGTGGAAGGTTATAGTTTAATGAGGATTACAACATAGGCTGGTGCAGTACTCAATAAGTAGAGGAATGGGAGGTTTATGTGTATAAAACATTCATGACAGTGGTGTGAAATAACAGCTCTTTGTTATGCAGAGTAAACATTTCTAAATGTAATTTTTCAAAATTCTCTTATTGCCAGGGGATCCCATACAAGTGAAAAGCCACAAATGCCCTTCCTATACTGTAGTTTAGATGTAATGTCAAGAGAAGACCCAGGAATAAAAGATAATTAAAATGACATCTGTGATTAAAAATATTTCTTAAATAAATCTGTGAAATAGTGTAGAAATACATCTTGAGAAAAGTATCTTTGTATCAAGCTACTTGAGGGCTATCTACACCATCCATCCTTAATTTTGAAGTAACATACTAGTTTGAAGTGAAAATCTGGCCATGGTTATAAAACAAACAAGATAGTTGAAAGAACTAAAAATCTTATTAAATCTAATAGTTATTGTAATTCCCAATTCTTATTTTACATAAAATTCTTATTATTTTAAAATGTTTCTTTCTATTCACAAAAGCAACCACATTCAAGTTAACTTATTCCTTAACCTAAACTGCTACCAAACAAGGTAGTTAAATATCCTCACTAATGCTAAAGAATAACTTGCATTATTATACAATATATATCAACATACTTATACAAAAAAAAGACATAATCAAGTACTTTTGATACATAATTAAACTAAAGAAGTTACATTTTGTAAAATTATATCTAATAACTACTACTAGAACAACATAATTCTTATAGATTGACAAATAACACAACTTGCATATGACTATTATGCAAATAATGTAATACATACTATGGCCATAAGGTCCAGTTCAAAAGTAATTCCATCTTGTATACAGATTTCTCATTCAACCTAGTTTTTTTTAATGGGGATCTTAACCAATCCATCAACAATAAATTAAGATGTTGTGGGTGATACAAAGAACAAACCCTCTTTAATACTATAGGAACAAAATAAATTAAGATTTAAAAAAAGGACTTCTACACCTGGCACAACTACACTTTATCAAATCTGCCTTGCTTGTTTTTAAATTGAAAAAAACATTATTACCTCAGTTTACTTTACTAAAATTTCCAAATGTTCCACCTAAGCATTTCAAACAACTGAAAATGTTTCAAATGTCTTGTTTTTCAACTAATTCATCCCTCTAAATATTTTAATAAACACCATAATCATCAATTTATTAAGCCCAAAATCAAGATCAAGACCCTGCACATCATTAGAAACCACACTGAACACAAGGAAACTTTCAAAGTATTACATCTATAACAGAATAAGCTAATGTGTTAGTTACAAATACAGTGCAAGATCTATTCCATTGGATATACCACTAATACAGCAAGTGACCTTTTTATTTTTTGGTTAACATAATAAGGATCTATAAATAATTGTGATAATTTAATGACACCTCTAGTATCAGCTTGAGACATAAGGTAAACTTTTATTTTTACAAGATCATGGACACAAAATCCAGAATGTTTATGCTAAGCCTCTACTGTCAACTACATTGTATTTATAAAAACTCTTTTTCGTATTTACAACCCTGATCTTTAAAACGTTAATTCAATTTCCTCTTTAAACTCCTTCAGTATTACAGTTTCAACCACATGTGAAGTCCATGTATGTGTATTAAATACACACAATATTCACATGTACATACATATATGATTCACATACAGGTGCATATTCACCAGTTGGAAACAAAAAACAAATACCTGTATTGGTAATCAAACTGATGCAAAGCATGGAGATCATTATCACCATAAACTAACTGAAGAATTATATAGTGATTACATGTAGTTTTGGATTACTGTTGAACCAAAAGTTATACCAGTTTAATTTTATCAACTGAATTTAAACTGTAATTGTCCATATACAAATAAAAAGAACAAGCATCTAGTAAATACAGTAAAGCAGTATCAAAATGTCAGTTCTCTGATAATGAAAAAGTCACTAAAAACTGAAAATATTCACATTTTCAACATTATTTCCATTTTCAGCATTGCAGTTTATATGCAGCAGTAAAATATTTATGTCAAAAGCTTATCTAGAGCACTGCCACCCAATTAGAAAAGTATTGTCTCAACTGGAAATAGTAATACATAGCATTATCTAGAATGTTTCTTAAATACTGACAAACAAGTCATGTTTACAATAGTCTCTGTTGCAAATGCAAGATTGGAAGATGTGATGTTTGCATGAAATTCAAATGTTGGGGATGAAGTCATTATGGGCTTCTTGTTGAAGTTAATGTGATCAGAAATAGTGTCACTGCAGCAGAAGGAAAGTCTGGTGGGAGTAGATTTACCAACTCTTAAACATTTTGAAGTAGGACTTTTTTTGTAAGGAGCCTTCTATAAAAGACGTCACAAAATTTAGGCCACTTTTTGACCCCCCCCTCCCCTTGTCACATGAATGGCCACTAACCAAAGTAACTAAACACTTCAATCACAGTTGGTACTAAAATAACACATTTGATCTCTAAGTAGGACAGCTGGCAACCCAGGTTGGAGTGACTGAATGGCTGGAAACTCTTGACAGTGGCAACAAGACAAAATACAAGTCTTTATAAACCATATGGGGCTTAATAAGGAATGTCTGGAAAAAGGACTGAGCACCAAGGTTAATGTAATGTATAATAAACAGTAGATCTTTTTCATCATAAAATTAAGTGCAAAGGAAAGAACCTGATATTTCCCTGATACATCTTGGCCACCTGAACTAAATATTCATTATGTATTTCTTATGATATCACATAATTTATATGCTGTTAGTGTATAATACAGTGCTTACCTGTAAGGTAATATTGTGACTGTGTGCTAATGATAGTGTGACTGCTTAAATATCATATTTGGAATTTCAAGTCTTTCAACTGCTTAACTATAGTAGTTTTTAAAAACTCCAATTGGGATTTCTTGAGGAGAAGGAAAACCATAAGTGTGAATATATATAGGAAAAATGGAGTTCCAGCATCAATTGTTTATTCTAAATTATCAGCAGCTTCTGGTTTGCTATTGAATACATTGCTAAATTCATACTTTAGTATAATAACTTTCAATTTTTAGCCATAGCATAGTGGTTCATAGAATGGCTCTTTTTTTCAAGTACAAACTTTTAGCTTAATGGTTCTGTCATTTCTTGACTGATTTGAGATCTAATTACAGTTTTGGATTCAGGAGGTCAAACCCTTTCAACTGATTTATTTGACCATGCCCAAGGTCTCATTGATTAATTTACTCTAATCCTGCCTAAAAAAATTTCAAGTGCCGCAGCTGTTGAGAATTCTTTCGGGTTTTTTTTATATAATAATCTGGATAAAATTTCTTTAAGTGTAACTTAAACTCAGACTTAAACAGGAAACAAGCTGAAATGTTTAAATTATGATTTCTTTCCTGATCATAATCAGCTATAATCACAACTTAAATAATCTAACCATCTTCTAACTGTCTACATAAAATAAAAGGACCCTTTTATCACACCAAAAATCCATACAGAATAAATGGGTTAAAGCATATCTAAACCTAAAATCAGTTGTTCATTTTATCAAAACTAGTGACTGTTTTGGTCACCACAATGTCCAGAAAGTACTAAAATTGTTAATGTTGCAGTTTTCAAAAATAAAACTTTTGTGGTCGTTGAAGAAAAATCATCATTTGAAAATTAATGCTCTCCCCCTTTTATGTCAAGATTTTAGTTAAAGTATACTGCCTTTTGCAAATAGTTTACCAATAGAAGACTCATTATCATCAGTGCTTAATTGGCCAGTATACACTGGAAGAATGTTTAAAAGTTAAGTTTACATAGTCTCTATTGTAAATGCAAGATTGGAAGATGTAATGTTTGCATAAAATTCAAATGTTGGGTATACAGTCAAGATGGGCTTCCTGTTCAAGTTAATGCAATCAAAAATAGGGGTCATCCAGAAATTTTATAATCCTATCAATAGAAAACAAGAAAACTGCAAGGCAGAAGTAATAGTCTTAGATCATTCAGTGAGTGACAAACTTAGATATGATTGATCAGACATTAAATAACAAAAGCCATTAGAAATAGCTGATGAACATTTATTGTTGTTTCTATTAAGTGTGTAGCATGTCCTAATATCACAAACAATGTGAAAAACATTTTCACAGTGCACATCTTGATTAAAATGAAATGACCCTGAGCAAGTCATTTTACTTAAAGAAGACATTTCATCAACACAAAAACAACATTTTGTGAGTTTCGTTACACTTTATATGGGAACAGGTAGAACCCTAAACTTGTGTAAAATTGTATATGAGAAAGTGTTCTTACATTTTTTTTTCTTTTTCAAACTTGCCACCTAAGCATAGCAATTTATGTTTGATTTATGTATTTAAAAAGAAAAAACTGGTAGAGAAAAAAAAACTCAATATGATTAATTAAATTAAGAAGAGATATTGTTTACAACTGCATCCATGATAATTTTTTACCACTGTCCAGAAATTACAATAGAAACATCTATTGGTAAACTTATTAGAGAATGATACATGTATTTGATACATAAAGGTTATCAATGTTTAGTCTAGAAGACCAATTCCTATTTCTTTTCTCTCCCAAAATTCTAGATATTAAGTTTCTCAATTGCCCTGAGCCTGTGAAAGTCTGAATCGGGCAAGTAATTTCTAACTCTTACTGAACAAATGGCTCACAGTTTGCAGGTTGCAGGTTCATATCCAATCACCAAACATGCTTGCCCTTTCATCCATGAGAGCACTATAATGTTATGGTCAATCCCACTATTCGTTGTTAAACTTAAAGAGTAGCCCAAGAGTTGGCACTTGGCAGTGGGTGGTGTTGACTAACTGCCTTCCCTCTAGTCTTATCAGTATCACTCCAAAATTAAGGACAGCTAGTGCAGACAGGTCTGGAATAGCTTTGTGTAAAATTCAACAACAAAGAAACAAACAATAATATTATTCGGGATATACATAACAGAATGATAAACGACGCTCAAGAAAAATAATTACGTATGACCAGACTCAGTCCCCACACGTAACGTCACGTTTCGAACTCTCAACGAGTTTCACTTTCAAGTTTCAGGCATGTTGGTCCCAACAGTTCGATTTATTTTGGCCCATTAAATATTACTGTGTCAGTTTTAAGCTAAAACTGTTGCTGTTATTGTTAACAAGTCAGTGTGTTAACGGTCTTCTTTGTCATTATTCAATTTATTGACAATATCGTTTAAGCCTAATTTAACTTTGCAGTTGCAGAAAATAAATTCTGTCTTATGCTCTAAAACACTCTACGCTAAAACCATTTTAAAAACATAGTACATTTTTTAAAGACAAAAAACACACTATGCAATATATACTTACCTAAACCAACGTAAATCCTGTTATAACAAAATTCAGAAGCAACTCTAACAAACTTTCCCAAACGTCCCACGCTCTGCAATACGCCAGACATGTCAGCTCGCACTAATAATGTTCTTACACCTACTTTCTTACTTTTCCTTATGAAACTGCTTTGGTAAAAAAATTTAGACCTTATTGTATATAAATGTGCATGCATATTTTATCAGAGAAGAATATAGAATTATCACTAAGATATGAAACTGTCATTCTTAAAATATATATAACATACATATTGTGATATAAATTTCAATGCTCCTGATGGCCCACTTAAGGGCTTATAACGTGAAAAACTGTGGTTTGAAACCCGTGGTGGGTACTATGCAAATGTTTCATTGTGTAGTTTTGTTATTAAAAACATACAAAAAAAAACTTTATTAATGGCTGGGTGTAGGTCAGTGTTAGCGTACCGGACAGTGGTTCATAAGGTCGAAGTTTTGAACCGCGATGCTATGAACATGTTGCACATTTTCAACTGTGGGTGTGTTATACATCTGACAATAATTCCCGTAATCCTGTTCAAAGTTACCGAACAAAGCTCTTATAGGTGGTGGACTGGTGCCTTCCCTCTAGCCAGTATTTCAAAATTAGGGCTGGCTATATGTAAGAAGAGTACTCAGTCCAATAATCAGGATAAGTTAAGTGAAACTGCACATGACGATGAACGCTAGCTCGAGATGTCATATTCTAGAATTAAACATATAAAAGCGTGGTATATCCAGATAAAACTGAATTAATTTTAGAATAACAGGATAGTTCCGTTTAAATAACAAGAGATTCAGTCAAGATACCGATTGCAAAGTAATGATATATCTCTAGTAACTAAGTTGTGAAAATGGCATAAAAAGACTGGAAACAGTGTTAAGTAAACAAGCCTTTATTAATTCAGAAACACAAATACGCTGTATGTACGTGCTTTTGCCATGGGACAATTGCTTCTACAGGATCTTCTATATTCAACTGTTCTAGTTGAGTTCTTGTACCAGACTGACTAAATCCAGAGTTTCTTAGTTTCCAAGAAAAGTCGTATTTACCCAGAGTGACCAGCTCTACCCACATGAGTGGTCATTATCATTCAAAAATAGGTGAAGCCATAACCATTATAGACATCACTTGAACTACCAACGAAGGACACTACTGTCGACATCCTTGTACAATAAGCAGTATTGCAGCAATACCTTTACGCCCACATCATACCCCAGTAGAACAGGTTTTGTCTACCAAAGAAATAAAGGCACCTAGAATGGAATCAACTTAATGGTTTTCTCGGCTACATGCTATATGAAACCTGTATATATACAGAAAAAATAATGTAATAATACAAGAACATATAAATGCATGGTATATATATACAAAAAGTATTTTGTTCGATTTGTAAACTGTTCATTTATTTCTGAAACACAGCTATAATCCAAAATCCTGAAAAATGTCAAACATGAAAACTGTTTATATCAACACTCATGTTGCAAACATTGTCAATGTTCCTGACTGATTACATAACAAGAAAATCGCATAAAAGTAAAGTACTTGTAGCTGAAATCCATAAATCACAAAAAAAAATGATCTGATTTATTATATATTGAGTGTTCACAAGATGCAGCCATACAAAAAGTGGGAGAGTCACAGGCAGAAGACAAAGTACCCAAGTGATATGAAATTTTGATGCTGCCTTAGGAAAATTATTAGCCAAATGAGATTAAAAACATTCAAGTTCGAAATGAGCTATTCTGTTTTTGTTTTTTTTTAATGTATATTGATTGGCACAAAATTTACCCTTGTCCTGGCTGGAATAGTTATGAATTTATGATATATATATTTAGTGAGATATAATCAGGTATTTCTTTTTAAATTTTCCTGTAGGTGTTCTGCATGTAGCATGATCTTATTGAACAAATTTAAAACAGTAATAAACATGTGCTAATCCTTTTAGTCATGTGAAGGTTACATATCACCTTGGAACTGCGTCGAGGAGTGACATAGATATTTGTACAAATTGTTATGAGTTGTGAGTGTTCTTCCCTATAAATGTTATTTGCGATAAGCCAAATATCAGTGACAAAGTTCAGTATATCAAAATCCTATGGTACATATATCATTTTTGTCTAAATTTGGGTAGGAAATCAAAATTATTTTTGTCTTTGTCCTATGCAGACATGAGTACACAGTCTCTTCAGCCTTAGCAGCCAGTTTGAGCTCAACTGATTAAGAAGCTAGCCAGTAAGTAAGGACTCACATAACCACAGATACTGTTTAATAAATATTTTGTTTTATTTGTTTACTTGTGTTTGCTTCTTTCCCTTGCTGTCTGAGTTAAAAATTGTTTTCTGCATTGTATTTCTTGAATTTACATTCTTGCATATACTTTTTAACTTATTTGTTTGACATCAGTGTTCCAAAACACCACAACTTTCACCTGACAACAAGTCAGCAACAGTAGACAGACATGCTATGACTTTAGCTCAGTAGAATAATTTAACTCTCATTGTCAGATTATAAGTCAGAAGCAAGTCAGCAACAGTGGACAGGCATGCTATGACTCTAGCTCAGTAGAATAATTTCACTCTCATTGTCAGATTATAAGTCATTTGTGGTATACAAATGTAATATTAAAATATATAATTAATACTTGAAATCGTCAGTACTTGGTGAAACTCCATAATTACAGAATTGAGGAAAAAACAAGACAATTGTACGTTTCACAAACACATAATTTATTACAACCATGGTTTCGCCAGTAAAGGCATCATCAGGTACAGACTGAAATTTTCTGTAGCAGGTTTTATATGTATGTTTAAACAAAGAACCGGAGGTGACCTTGACTCATATTCACCTAGACACACTGTGGTAAGGAGTGGAGAGGAGCTTAAATTGGTTTGGTTGTTTAGAACATTTTCTGGGTTTGTTTTTAGACAAACAAATGGAAAAATCACTTAATGCGACCGCAATATGGTTCCTGCGTAGAATGCTTAGGGTTTCCTACAATGACTGGAAAACAAATGAAGAAGTTCTACAACAAACAGAAACAAAAACAACATTGATAACAAAAGTAGGAAAAAGACAAGCAGCATTCTTTGATCATGTGATGAGGAGAAAGGAGGTGGAACACTTGGTAATAACTGAGGTTGGTTGATTGTTTGTTGTTTTATGGCGAAAAGCAACTAGGCTATTTGCGCCAAAGGTAATAACTGAAAGATTTCCGGGGAAAAGAAGTAGAGGTAGACAGCGAGAGAAGTTCCTGAATAGTTCAACAATTTGGTTACACAATAAGAGGGTGACTGATGTAATCACTTACAAGTGCCTGGGACCAGGAGGGACATGATCGCCTACGCTAAAAACCACAGCACTTGATGATGATGATATATTTGTAAAATTTCCAGACTGTCTAGTTTTACCTTTTTCACAGGTATGTATAATTTTGAGATTTTTTTATGGATCAAATTGGTGTTTAGTTTCAATAATGTGGGATGCAAAGGTTGAAACAGTTTTCCTTAATTTCCATCTTCTAGAGTGTTCTTTAATTCTCGTTTCTATGGAACGTCCTGTTTGACTTATATATATACACAATTGCAGTCTTGACATGTTAATTGGTAAACATCACTGTTGCTGTACTTTTCGATTCTGTCTTTGTTGTTGCATAGCATTTTTCCTAGGTTGTTATTACACGCCGGTCTGTAGATTTCTGTTACGTCTCCGTTTGTTAATTAACTTTCTGTAACTTCGTTCCGACGAAACTTAAGCGACACAAGTTCTTTCTTAATAAAAACTGGTTTATTCTTTCCGAATATAACTTTACCGATACACTCAACTTCAACAATTGCGCTAAACAAACGCTGTAATGTCTCTCGTGCTCTCTGACTGCAGTTCAATTACTCACTGACTACCCAGACATTACATTCCCCTCTTTTATATACCAGCCTACCCTATATCTAGTAAGAACTAGAACATTCGCCAAAGTACATGATAGTTCCTAGAAATGTTGCGTCACAGTAGTCATGTGACTCGATGACGCAACAATATTATGTTTTGTACTTCAAGTGAATGTTCTATAGAAAATAGTAAGTGTTGCTATTTTAAATAGCTTCTATAATACTAAAGTGATTGGTTAAACAGTGAGTCTTTCATTTATTATATTTAGTTGCAGCAAAATGATTTACTACCAAGTTTTTGAACCAATCATTAAAATTAGAAATACAAATGAAAACAGAGCTACATAGATACAGGGTTAGTATAAGAATATACTTTAAACCTAACCTTATAACTAGTGAAACATGCATTATGTATGCATCTATTGTAATGGGAGGCTAGTTGTTTGGAGTTTCAACTTTAACATGTTACAAATGAATGTATTTAAATCCAGCTTATGCAATCATGAATGGAGTACACAAGTCATCAACTCAAGGAAGTTTACAGTTAGAATAAAGAATTGACTTGGAGACTGAGATACAAAATAACATATAACACTTTAATTCAAAATATTCAAATACTCATTCAAGTCTACAGTACCAAAACTATCTTGAGAAGCTTCTACACTAAAAACATTAAATTTATCATTCTGAGTGAGCAACTGTTCATTGATTAAACCCTCAAGAAGATAAATTAAATCTGACACTACAGCAAACAAATTATCAATTGAAAAATTATGTAAAATACATTAAGACATAGTTTAGTTTATACAATCTGGTCAACACTTCTTCTAAGATATCTCTCAACAAAGCTATTATTTCTTCAATAAATTTATTAAATCAGTAAGTGAGTTCTCTTTTAACACCATTTTATTATTTGCACACATCATTCATCATTTACTGTTTATGCTGCTAAACTAGAGAGAGTAGCAATAGTTACTTACAGAGAGTTTTTATGTCAAACATTTGTCATATTTCAAAGAACAGCTTTACTCTGGATTTGTCAACAGAGAACTGATTTTTCGTCCAAAAATATTACTTTTTATTTATATTTTGGTGTGTTCATATGATGAATCAACTAGTGCTACATGTATACTCTGCAAGTATTGTCAATATCTACAGTTCCTTGTAATAATACTTCCAGTTTGCATTTTCTTCATCATTGTTCCAATATGTCAACATTCAATTCC